TTTCCGTGAAGGATGGTGCGGCCCACGTGCGTGTGAGAAGTGTAATACTACTGGAGCCGGCCCCTGAAGGGATGAGCGCAGCTGGGAGGTGTGATGCTGACTTTGTGTGGTGACACGGTTTCTGAGTGAGAGAAAGTGGTGGGGTATGACTCCCTTGGGGGAATTCACCCGTGAGTGGTGGAACAGGACAGTGACATTCTCATGGCAACAACAACAACAATAATAATAAAAATACTGAATGACAGCTATTGTTTATTGAGTGCTTGCCATCTGCCAGGCCTCACTTCACCTACGCAACCTCACTGAACCCACACAGCAGCCTGGAGAGGCAGGGGGAGGACTTACGGTCCCCATTTTGCAGACGAGGAGACTGAGCCTCAGAGCAGCGAAACAGGGTGCCTGAGGGGCCCACACCAAGCACGGGACAGGGACAGGGAGGAGATGGGCCCTGGAAGGTCCCACCTGAGCGCCCTTAACCCTGGTGCCGTTGTCTTTGTGTTAAGGGATGTGAGGGATGCCGGGAACAGGACCTGGCTGGTGTAAGCTACGTTTGGGGGGTGAAGTGTGCATTTCTGTTTATATATGGGGGCGACAGAGGTGGGAACACAGCCAGAACTACGGGGGCCATTCTATCGGCACCTTCAGAGTTATCACCTGTATTCGAGGGGGACGCTCTTTGTTATTGCCCCTCAGCCTGGTCATCTGCTGCTCCTAACTGGAGTTTCCAGCCACCTCTTCACCTAACACCTCCTGTCCTCAGAGCCTCATCTCCCTCCCAACCGCCCCTGCCTGCCAGTCACGGTACCTGGAAGCCAGTTTAACAGCCACCATCTCCTCTATCAGCCCCCAAGAACGGGGCAGGTGCCCTGGGCAAGAACTCCGTCTGCCCCATTTGCCACAACCTGCTGGGACACCCCGGAGGAGTTCCCCAGCTCCCTGAGCCTATCCTCACCTGAAAATGAGCTTCCCACACAACTGAGGTAGCCTCCCGAGTTCGAATCATGGCTCTGCCTCTGATTAGCTGACTGACTTCGGGCAAGTTACTTAACCTCTCTGGGCCATACTTTGCCGTTGGTAAGATGGATAACATAATAGAATTGTAAGGATTCAATGACTGGCCGGTACCAAATGTTTTCTATAATTTTTCTTGGCACGGCACACTGCAGACCTTCAATGCTAGCCATCATTGTAATTTATTATTATTATTACTATTACTATTATTATTATTATTAATGTTACATCCTAGATACTGGGAGAATTAAATGAATGAAATGCTGCATGCAAGGCATTAAGCAATTATACTGGTAGCTTTTATTATTATTATCGTTGTGGTCACTGTTATTTCCCCATTTGGCAGATGGTAGGAACACCGAGGCTCAGAAAAGGGATGTTGACCCAACACCCCACAGTCATGGAAGTGTCAGAAAGAGCCCTCACTTCTGACATGAAAGTCTCGGACCCTTGCCCATCCCTGCCCCTGAGTGGTTCTCTAAATCAGCGGTTCTCAACCTGTGGGTCGCGACCCCTTTGGCGGTCGAACGACCCTTTTACAGGGTGTCGCCTAAGACCATCCTGCATATCAGATATTGACCTTATGATCGATAACAGTAGCAACATGACAGTGATGAAGTAGCAGCGAAAATAATTTTATGGTTGGGTCACCACATGGGGAACTGTATTTAAAGGGCCAGAAGGTTGAGAACCACTGCTCTAAATGGAGGATTGCCCCTTTGCGTTTCCGGGCCTCAGTTTACCCGTGGGTCAATGGGAGGGGAGGAGGGGCGAGAGCCTGGAGGAGCGGTCCCTCAGGGCTCATCCTAGTTTCCCTGCTGCGAGAGTAAGCACATGAGTCCAGGGTTGACCGATCCCAGCTCCACCACCGATGAGCTGTGTGACTGGACCGTGGCTCCATTTCTCCGAGCCTCAGTTCTATTCATTTGAAAAAGCAGCCCAAATCATCTCCCTGGAGGGATTCATGGGGAAATTAATCCATATCTCAGAGTCTGACTCATGGTAGGGTGCCAGGGGCTCGGGCCTGACCACCTTTGGCAGAAGGTTGTGCTGCTCTGAGGGCACTGCTTTGGAGCCTCTCAGCCCCTTTAAGAGGAGAATGGGATTCCCCTCCCCACCAGCGGGGGCGGGGCTGGACTGCCTGCCCGCCGGGCTCTGGGGCCACCTGGGTCCCTGACCCTCTCAGCGACTGGGAATGGCAATGGGACAGGAAGGAGGGAAGGAAGTCGGAGGGGCCGTATTCATGTGTGTGTTGGGGGTGGGGGAGCAGGAAGAAGGACAGGAAACTCACTCCCAACCCCTCCCCCAGCTTCCCTTTCCTCCAATTTCTGCTGGACACCCTCAGAGGCGGCCAGGGGGTCCCCGATTCCTGTCCCACCTGGACAGGGGTGGGGGGAGCACTGGGATAGAAGGAAGAGACTCAACTGTGTTAGTCTGGGGGCGGGGGGTTGGGGGAGGTCCCCACCCGACCCACTCCAGCGCCCGGCAGGCAGCCTGGCAGCGGGAAGGAAAGGTGCACCCTGCCTGAGGCCATCCCGCTCCCATTCCGAGGAAAAGGCCGGAGGAAGCAGAGATTTTGGCCAAGGTGACCGCCAGGCGGGGCCTCTCTGCTCTGGGGTCTCCCCTCGTCCAGGGCTAATGAGCTGGGCTCGGAGGACCCCCCGACTAATTGCTTGCTCCTGAGACACACACCTAGCGCCCCCAGCGTGTCTTTTATTCTCCCGTACACATCCCTCTTCAGGTCACACACAGGGACAGCCCCTCTTCTGTGGTGTCACACACACACTCCCTTGACAACCACACAAAATCATCCCCTCCTCCCTGGTGTCACACACTCAACCATCACACACACACCTCTCCCCTTGTTACAACTATACACGCCTGGGCTGTCACACACGCACCCTTCCCTGCTCATACCCCTTGGGTGTCATATGCACATGTCCCCTGTTCCCGGTTCACCCCCGGAGCCCCAACCTCTCCCCCGTCATACACCCACCTCCGCTTGTGGCACACCCCCCCTCTGATGTCATTGTTGTACACCTCCATGTGTCACACCCAGCCACAGCCTCTCTGGAGTCACACCCACACCATTTTCTGGTCACATACCCTCACCAGCTTCTCCTGGTCCCACCCCACCCCAGACACGCCTGTGTCACATACTGAACTGCCTCCCCCTGATCCGCACAGCCTCTCATGGCTCACACCCAGAGCCAGCCCATTCAGCGTCCCCCACACACCCGCTTGCATGTCACACACACCCTCGCTCCTCTACCGCTGCCACTTTTGGGGTGACATGCACACACTTTTCCTTGTTACACAAACCAGGGTCTCGAACATGGACCCCAGCCCCTCTCATCTGCCCTCTCTCTTACACAGACACACACACACCCTCTTTCCTGCCGTATCCATGATCCCTAATGCCTCACATTCAGGCCTTACAGGGCCCACACGCACACATGAATACACACGAACACACACACACACACACCTGTCCCAGCCACACATTCTCCCACCTAGCTCTACACACCCACCCTTTCCTCCATCTCACCAACACACCCACCCGCTGGTGCCCACACACAATTCCTTCCGCCCGTGGGCCGCACATGCCTCCCTCCAGGACACCCCTGCTCAGGACATCCCCAGGGAGGAGACTGGAGAGCTCCGAGTCCACAGGCCTCCGCTCCTCCTTCCCCTCCCCCCGCCAGGACGCGCCAGCCGGGAACACCCCTGCCCCAAAGGGTCACATCACACACCCCTCAAGGACACGGACACCGGCTCGGAGGGACCCGCGCCCCCATCCTTTGCGCCCCCCCAAGGACACTTACCACCCCCTCCCCCCGCAACTCCTCTGGTCGCAGACAAAGCTCCCAGCCCCGGGCCGCGGCCAGCCGGGGAGGGGGTCCGGACTCTCCCCAACTCCCCTCTTGGTTCCGGGTCTAGGGAGGGGCGCTTTTCCCCTCCCTAGAGCCCTTGCACCTGCCAACGGGGGAGAGAGGAGGATGGAGAAAGGCGAGGCCCCTTGCCCGCTCCCCCACCCCGAGCGCAGCCCCCTCTCACCTCCCGTGTTGCTGCGCTTGGTGCAGACCACCTCGGGGGGCGTTTCGAGGGGCCGCTTGCG